ATATGGTAACCCTATTATTTTATATTTTTATTTTGAGTTACATTAAAGAGATTAGTGTAATAGAAAAACTGTGTGTTGAGAAGAAACCGTAAAGTTTTGTCCTCATTGAGAAATACAGGACATGATGCTAAAACAAAACATGGATTAAAAAAGAAGATGCCTTACAATCACTTGGATTATGAGCTATTTGAGAGGGGATTGTCTGTTATATGAATGTACAGCTCCTAGCACAATGGAGCTTAAGGGTGAGATTCTGTGCTGTGCCAGAACACGCAGCCCTGGGGAAGGGAATAGTTAAGGTGGCCTTGAGCCACCTTTCTGCCCTCCTGATCCTGCATTGTTTTGGGGGACAGAGGTCCTAGAGAAAAAAGAACAGGAGTACTTGTGGCACCCTAGAGACTAACAAATTCTCTAAGGTGTCACAAGTACTCCTGTTCTTTTTGCGGATACAGACTAACACGGCTGCTACTCTGAAACAGGTCCTAAAGAGTAATTTAAGACAGCCCTTGGGGCCTAAGTTTCAGAAGCCTCCCTAGTTGTCTTAAGGGCCACAGTGCTGCCTAGAATCTACTACGCTGCATGCTGTGATCCCACCCTAACACAGGGTTTGCAGTGGAGTCTTCAGAAGGTAGCCTTCTGGCTGTCTTCTGCATTGCCTGTGCCAGGACTTCTACAGCCCCTTCATGTCACTCCAGCTGTTTTACCCCATATAACAGGGTGAGAGCAGGGCTGACCTCACCCCTCCTCCCAGACTCTTGGTGCTACACCAATACAATGGATTATTAACAATAATGCCAATGGTTTACTAGTGGGGATTGAGTAGACCAATTTTTTTGAATGCACGCTTTTCAACGTAAAGCTTTTATAGTCAAATAAAAAAAGCTCTAGAAAATCCCTGCTGTTTTGCACCTTTTAAAGATTTTCTATTTTCTGTTTCATAGAAAAATTTTACATGCACAAATTATTTTTCATATGTCCTATGATTGTCCCAAAAGGATTTCGAGTCTAATATAATATGTACTGTACAAAAGACTGTAAATTTCAGTATGCAATGTGAAACGGAAATAAATGCACTGAGATATGGTTTTATACAAAAGAGAGTTGAAGTCAGTGGTTTAAGCATGGGACTGGAATACCCCTGTTTACGTCTTGCTTAGATTCTGATGTATATTAATACATTTCACAACCACTTCCATAATAAATAGAACAACAACACTTAACTCTTGTATTGCATTTTTCATTTGTGGATCTCAAAACACTTATGAAGGAAAAGTATCATGTTCCCCATGTTATAGATTGAAAAATCTGAGGCACACAGAGGTGCAGTAACTTTTCCAAAGTCAATCAGTTCAGTGCATGTGCACAGTGAGAGAGATCCCTTTTTATAAGGAAACAGATTTCAGATTCTTGCTTTCAAGAGATTATTCAGAGTGAGTACATTTAAAAAAATTAAGCATCATTTTTACCTGTCTTTTAGTTTGGCGGTATTCCTGAATAGCATAAAAAACCCTACTCAGGTGTAAGGAAGTGAAGGAAAGCATAAGGCATTTACTTCCAATTTTCTCAACAGGATTCAGCATACTGGATACTCAGTTAAGGACTGGATTCTTCAAAGCCTTACTCCCAAGAGTAGCTCTGATGCAAGTAGTCCCACTGACTAATGGAGCTACTTCTGTGATTTAGGCTTTTTAAGGTCAAGCTGTCCTTTAGCATGTCTGGGGGATGAATGGCATGTGCAATTCTGTCAAGCACAACTGTTTGGTGGAGGTGCAAATAGTGGAGAAAATTAGGTCTTTTTCCCCCTCCATTTTTACTGATCACATTCCGAAAACTCAGACCATTATAGTAAATAAAAGTATCAAAGTGAAAGTTGACCCCTAGACCTAGTTACTTTGAAACCACTGTAAATTATCTCATTCAGGTAATATCAACAAAATGTCATTTATAAGAACAATTCGTACTCCTCAAATTGTAGTGAGATTTCTCTAAATCTTTCTCTAAGGAACATACCAATTACCCTCCAGATGGTGCTGTCAGCCTAATCTACAATTGGAAAGTTTTCCGATCATCTAAAAGTACCTATAAACAACTTTAATTTATAAAGAAGTCTTTCTCTCTGTCAAAAATAGCTTACCTTACAACATGTAGGGCAGAGATGGTCCCGTGGTCAAAACACCAGAATAGGAGTCAGGAGATCTGTGTTCGGTTTCCAGCTCCGCCACACAGTGGGTGTGTTACCTTGGGCAAATTCTTTAACCTGTAAAACAGGGATAACATCCACTTGAAAGGGTTGACGGGAAGCTATTTGTCGAGTATTCAAGGTCCTTGTTTGGAAGGCACTACATAAATGCAAAGTCCAGGTTTTATGAATTTATCAAAGCTTTTATTTTTGACCATTTTATTGGTTCTGTGACAAGGAAGAGAAACCCATATAGAAAGAAGTGTTGTATTTCAAGACTGTGAAACAAAATAAATTTATTTTAGCAGACAAATCAGGAAGTCATCTGCAACTGACTGACTGCCAGTAAACTGAATGAGCAAACCAGAAGCATAGGCACCGACTCCGTGGGTGCTCCATGGCTGGAGCACCCACGGGGAAAAATTGGTGGACCAGCAGCCAAGCTCCCCGCCCTTCCCCCCCCTCCCCAGCTCACCTCCGCCTCCTCCCCTGAGCGCGCCACGTCCCTGCTTCTCCTCCCAGGCTTGCCACCGCGAAACAGTTGTTTTGCGGTGTAACAAGCTGTGGGAGGGAGGGGGGAGGAGGAGGAACGTGGCGCGCTCAGGGGAGGAGGCAGGGATTTGGGGAAGGGGTCCAATAGGGGCAGGGAAGGGGCAGAGTTGGGGTGGGGACTTTGGGGAAGGGGTTGGAATAGGGGCGGGGCAGGGGCAGAAGGGGGCAGGGCAGGTGTGGAGTCGGGGCGCGAGCACCCATCAGCGCCAGGAGAAGTGGCGCCTATGACCAGAAGGAGCATCATTTGTCGGATTGGGAGAAGAACTCTATCCAAAGTAGCAGATGACGCTCAGAAATTACCATTAAAAACACTGGAACAGGGACGTTGTTTCCTGAAATTCACGCATCAGAGCAGCACACAGAAAAATGAAGTATGGTCCAGGTCACTACATTTTTATTCAAGCTGAACTGGTATTGATCAGATGTCTGACATGCCTGCTTCTGCGCATGCTCTCTTACTCTCTGTCATCCGCCTCCACAGAACAGCCATCACTGCTGGTTTTGGAGGTATGGTCCATAATGCGTAATGTATCTAGGTTTTTATATGGCCTCCATCACTGTATTATTTGAGTGCTTGATTTCACACGAGATAGTACCCTAATAAAAATAGTACCCATACAAACCATTTGCCAACTTCTGCCTACCCACTTCCCCACCATGTCCACCATGATCACACCCACCCTGTACTTATTTAAATTAACAACACACAGTTTCAAGGTTTTATAAATAAATGGGCAACCAAGTATCCCTGAAAACTGACAAAGTCCCTGTCGGTTTTACAGAAGACATTGTTTAGTCTTGATTTTTGTAAACCCCAGTAGACTGGATAGATAACTGAATTTTTGGAACTGACAGTGAGCTGGGAAGCTCACCTCAGAGACCAGCCACAGATTTACCGAGTGATCATATCCCCACTCAATTAAATCTCACAATCAGCAATCCTATGAGCCAGCTCTTCCTCAGACATAGGCCCTTGCTATTCTATGAAAATCTTCTTAAAGTTTCCCATCGTTGCTGACATCTGTTCAGCTCCACTAGTGTTAGCATCACAGGAAGTCTTAGTATGATGGGATACCAGCTGCTGCTGATTCTTTTATTATTAATTATTATTAACAAACAAGTGTTGATTAGAGCTGCTCTGAGAAGAGTTATGACACGATGTTAAAGATGCCAGCAGCCCACCTATACCAAGTCTCCTAATATGCTAACACCAGTGAAGCTAAACAAGTGTTAATTATCGTGGAAAGTTTTTAGAAAGTTTGCATAGCACAGACAAGGCTGTACAATCAGATGTGAGCAGAGTCTGAGACTCTGAGCGCTGCTGCAAGTGGCAAGTCTACAGGAAGGTTGGCTGTCATGCTACCATATGCAGGCAGTTACTGACCTAGACTTGGAAGTGCCATCCATAATTCTGTTCACCTCCCCTGCAACACCTCTCCTGCACCTTGTAAGCACTGGACTGTTGCTGGGCATTAGGGATGATTGTGGCAGAGCAAAAGGGAGAAAAAGGATTGAGAGTAGATGTGTGACAGGATATTTTGCAGGGGGAAGACATGAGGGAATAACTAAAGAAGGAAAATGAAAAAGGCTGAAGCAAGGGAAAAGACAGATGAGAAAGGAACAGAAGAAAATGGAAAAATTAGAGAAGATAAAAGCATGGAAAATATGAGGAAAGAATGAACATCCAATACATTTAATTTGTTTAGTAGGTTCTTCATAATAAAAAGAGATTCAGTCGCTACTATTGCCTCCCAACCAAGTAGGATACGCAAACTATTCCAGAGCAACAAGAATGTTCAAATTCAGAGTCAAATATAAATGCTGATTTTATTTATTTTACTCCAGAGTAAAATTAAGGCAACTTGGTTTGAGAAATTGAATATCATGCCTTTTTATATTTTGCAATCAAAGACAGAAAAGGGTGTGTGCTGAAAACTTACCTAGACAAGCAGTCTTTCCACTTGTCCCAGCTCGTTCAGGTTTAATCAGCGTAGTAAATCTGTAACACAGTAAAATTAAAATATAGATATACTCATAGTATAAGAAAGCCAAAGATTAGAAACGAACACTGACATTTCTTATTACAAAGACTACAATATTTTGAAAGTTTCCTTATATACATGCAAAATAAAAAAACAAACAAACAACCACACGCTGTATTCACCTCCCAAAGCATAAACCCAGCAGCATGGCCACAGCACAGGAAGTTTTCCCAAAGATGAGTGAAAAAAATCAGGAAGTTCCCAAAGAAGCCACCAAGAGGAACAGTTTTACATCTCCCCTTCAGTCCAACTTCTACTGTTATGTCTACAAGAAACCAGAACAGATTTATCTAGCCAACAGATAATGGCTAAATAGAGGGCCAGTGAGCATACATGATATCTACTTAACAAATAATCCTTCGTATGTTTTATCTTTCTCCCAACTCTTCATACTTTCCTTGTCTTTTCCAACTGAGAGCCCTCTGGGGCAGGAACGGCATCTTGTGTTTGGAAAGGGCCTAGCATATAGGAGACACTAAAGCAATCATAAAAAATAATACTTCTTCTATCATTCTGAAAAATGATCTGAACCCAGGCCTCTTTGAAAAGTCAACTGGAGCTTGGTCTACTTTTAAAATTTATATCGGCATAGCTACATCAGTCAGGGCTGTGAAAAAAGTCACACCCCAGTCTGACAGCTATGCTCACAAAACACCCAGTGTAGACACAGCTCTGTTGACAGAAGAGTGCTTCTGTCCAGGAGCGGCTCCAGGCACCAGCACAGCAAGTGCGTGCCTGGGGCGGCAAGCCGCGGGGGGCGGCGTGCCGGTTGCCGTGAGGGCAGCAGTCAGGCTGCCTTCAGCAGCATGCCTGCGGGAGGTCCGCTGGTTCCGCTGTCATGCTTGGGGCAGCAGAATACATAGAGCCGCCCCTGCTTCTGTCAAGGTAGCTAATATCATTTGAGGCAGTGGTGTTCCTGCACTAGTAGAAATAGTCCTTCTTTGAGTGTACACTGAATCTATATTAGGGGATTAACCAACACAGCTATGCAAGCATAGGCTCTGTGTTGTACACGTAGCCTCAGTGTCTGAAACCCTGGTCCCCATTGAAATCAATAGCCGACTCCCATTCACTACAATAGGGTCAGGATTTCATCCCTGTTCCTGCTCCTATTTATTGACTATTGAACCTGATTGTAAAGAGAGTCTCAGCCCCTCCCAGCATCAGGCCTTTAGCAACAAACAAGCTACTCACTCCCCTACCACAATTATTGACATTTTACATATTCTGTCTCACTTTAAATATTATGATAAAAATGAGCAAAAAATTTAAGCTTTTAGCTAAAAGATTTTGATATGGTTTAATGTGTAGAACAAAAAAATTATATTAATTTTTCATTTTGGGAGAGATTATTTTTAAAGCAAAGAAAAATGCATAAGTGCACAATAAAGGTGTATGCTAGAACAGAGTAGAAACACTTCTAGCTAGAAGCCAATAAACCTCAGTGCACAAGCAATGGAAGAGGGAAAGGTCAGTTTCAGGCATCCCAGGGAAGAGGGAAAGGTTGGTTTCAGGCATCATCAGTGAGAAAACCATGATTTAAATAATTGGGAGAGAAACCTTTTTAGAGTGTTTTACATATTTTTTGTTTTCTCACACCATAACTAAGGATCATGGGTATAAATTCTTCCCCCTTTGCTTTTGGTGTAATGTTTTTGGCAAGTTGCTGCACTCACTATCACTTTTTATTTTTATTTTTTTAAAGGAGTAGTAGTAGTTGTAGTAACCCTCTATCAACGTTTTAAGGAAATCATAATTTTTAGATGCATAAAAATTTGCCCTTTCTGAAGCTCACTGCTCCCAAAGCTGAGTTCCTAGTGAAAGTGGAAGGTTTACTGGCTTTGTCTAGCCTAGGATTTAAAAGTACATTGTTAGACAGTGTTAGCTATCACATTCTAGCTGCCTAGTGTAAACAAGGCACACTGCCTGTAACACATGCTAAACCGGTCAGGTTGAAGTGGGGAACCTAAGTTTTAATGCCATTTTAACCCATATTAGGAGTATGCAATGCTTTGTCTACGCTAGAGACTTTCAAATATATTCATTAAAAGGTGCTGGCTAACACCTTCTAACAATGTTCCCTTAAATCCTCGTCTAGACCAGGGGGTCTCACAAGAAATTTTTTGGTGGCCTCAGAGTGCAGCCACCAACTCTTGCTGGTGGCCATTCTGACAATTTTTGTTAAAATACTTAATTAACTTTAAAGAAAAAAAAACAAATAAATATGCACATATACACGTCCAAATCATAATTTATTTATGTAGGTTTTTATTGCAGACTCAATAATAAAAATAATGTACAGTTGTCTCTATTCTTTACTGGACCTAAACAGAATAGAAACAAATGTGATTTGCACGTTCTTGTTTTGTTGTTGTTGCTTCTTATGCTTTTTTTTTAAACTTGCTAGCTAGCAAGTCTGTTTCTGTGAAAAATGATATCTGTATGTTTGTTAACATTGCTTTGCCTCCCTCCCCATCATTGCCTAGGAATCTTTGGCCACACAAAAAGCCCCTGGTGGCCACATGCAGCCATATTTGAGAAATGTTGGACTGTAGACAAAGCCTTAGGGTATGCCTATGCTGCAATAAAACACCTGCAGCTGGCCCGTATCAGCAAGCTCACGGGGCTGAGGGGCTATAGAACTGCAGTGTAGATGTCTGGTCTCCAGCCAAGCCAGGGTAGTGGGACCCTGTGAGGGGGGGAGGGTCCCAGAGCTCAAGCTCCAGCCCAAGTCCAGACATCTATACAGTAACTCCTCGCTTAACATTGTAGTTATGTTCCTGAAAAATGCGACTTTAGGCGAAACGATGTTAAGCAATGCTCTGCGTTTCTAGCTCATGCAGCCACCCTAGTTCTCACTGTGATGTGGCATCAGATAGTTGATACAACAAATTTACATGGGTTGAAGGACACATTCCGACCACTACATTTATGTCCTTTTGATTGGTTAGAGGTTTCCCCCAGTCGTCTTTAATATGTTTTCAGAAATGGTTAAAAGAAAAGGAAGAAAATGTGCCCTGTGCCACTCAGTTATGTAGTTGACAACTGGTCCTTTTCACTCTGCCAAGAAGTCTTGCTGTACTTCCAAGAGAAACAATGGCTTGTTTAGGACCTCTCCCATGAACTGCTAGTGTCAATTCATAAAAAATGAAAGCTTATATTGTTTTTTAATTAAGTTTCTAGCACTTATGGCAAAGAACAAAACCTTCCAAATGTGAAGTGAGTGTGAACCAATGCAGTGCTTTTTTTTGCCAAATCTGCACATAAACTGCACCAGTGAGAAAGACCTCTGGGCAGGTTCTGTGCCTATTCAGAACTTAGAGCCAGTCAGAACTGTCATTTCAGCAAAATAGGTTTTCATTGAAACCAAAATGTTTTGTGCAGATGTATCAGTTTAATCTCCATAAATCAGTTTCCAAGAAATGTTTGTCAGGATTCAGGAAGGTCTTTAGGTCTGGGGCACGGGAAGGGTAGGGGAGAGGGGGAGGAGAGATGTGAATAACACCTTTATTCACTGTAAAAAAAAAAAAAAATCACATTTAAATATATTCAAAATGTCATTAAATACGTTAAATATACATAAAGAAAGGAATAAATAGCAATAAACCCACCCCAAACAAACATTACACATGGATCACTATGGCGTCACCAGAATCAAGTTTGCTCAAGACATTATTAATACATCAGGTGAATCAAAACATATCCAGACTTCAAAGTGAGCTTATAAAAGGTAGCAAACCCACAGCCAGGCAACGATCAGCATGCAGAACAACTCCAGCACATCACACCCCTTTACCCCTGTCACTTTGTCCTTGGGAAAGTTCAGAATGACCAGTTTGGCCTGATACAGTAACACCAGCACGCACGCACACACGCACACACACACACACACACACACTCATACACACACACACACACACTGTGTATTGCACTCCCAGAATAAACTCAAGTTTGGAGGAAAACAGTTCCCAGCAACTGAAAAGCTACCGCAAAAACCCAAAAAGATTAATCAAATGGGAACAATTGAGGAAAAAATGAAACACTGCATCCAAATAGGATAGAATAGGATCTTGTAATTGGGACAGAGAAGGGAAATAGGTCTCCAGTTCCGCACATCATAGAGGTCCCATTTCTTGGGCAGCAGGGTAATTACTGCCCCGTGACAACTGAGGGACAGCTCCTTCCTCTAGAAGCACTCCAGAAACCACTCAGGAAAATATCAGGACCAATAAGATCCTAAAATGTAGACAACAGCCCATCTATCCCTGAGGCTTTGCCTGTAGAGAGCTGCTGGACCACAATAGAGCTCCTGCAAGGACAGAAGGGCTCCAGACACTGTTGTTCCTCACTAGCGAGACAGAGCAACCCGTGGTGCAGCTCCACCATTGCCAGCATGTCACAGGACTCAAGTGAGTACAAAGCACTACAGAAGGATACAGATGCTTTCTGGATTTCCACAGAATCAGATGTCAGACATGCCCTGGGCAGCTGGAGACAGTGAATCTGCTGACAGTCCACAGTGTTCCTCTCCAAACCAAAGACATTTCTCATGTCATGCAGCTGAGGGAAATGGGCCCAAACCAGAGCTCCCTGCAATGTTCTCCTCCAGAAAGCGCTCTGGAGGCTCATATTTTGATATCAGGTTCCCAACATCAAGGCTGCCATGAAGATCCACGATGTCCCATTCCAGGGTACTCAGCATGACACAAGGCCCTTACAGCAGCCTGGGTGTAACATTGGCAAAACAATTGGATTTGGACCTCTCATGTTCTGCCGCTGTCTCAAGGACTCCTAGAAGGACTTCTGCTGCTGCCGCCAATGCTCCCAAAACACAGCTAATGCCTGGGTGAAATTCAGGTCCTGAAACAATTTGGTGATAAAAACACCAGCGGGAAGCACAGGCAGGATAGGGGAGAGAAACACTGACAGAGACATAGTGATGGTCAGCCAAGCGAGT